CTGAGCAGACACCTGATGTCCCTAGGACAAGCGTCGGGACATGCGTTTCTCTGTTGAGGAGCAGGTTGTGCTATGGGGAGTCTGTAATAATCTGTCTCTACAGCTTTTCACAGCAGAAGGCTCTTAGCATTTTTCCACCATTGAGATAAATGAGAGCCTCACTTTCTCTCCCGTTTATAGAAATGCAAGTTGTATGTACAGACAAATAAGTTTAAAAAAAAAAGATTGTGGGTTTCAGACAAAAAGACTAACCAAGGACTTTGAAGATCTCAAGTCCTAAGTGTCACCCTGCCAGCAGGGAGTCATATTTCTAAGTGCCTTGATGTTCTCATCCTTGTCATCCTGATCCCTGCTCCTCTCTCTCAGACTGGAGCAGGGATCTTGGGAAACTGCCTCTTCATAAGTATTGTCTGCATTTTTTGTCTTTTATCTAACTGTTTAGTAATCAGTGTTGAGGTGATTATGGATAACTTCCCTTTCTACATTCTACACATTCAAATATTTTATTTGGGCTTACTTTTAATTTGTGCTTTATTTCTACTCTCATTTTTTCATTTTTATGAAAAAATAGGACCTCTTGTCTGTGTCATATATAGTAATGTCTTACCCTGTCTAAGATTATGAAAATATACACAAATATTTTTATCTATGATGTTTTTTATTCTCTATTTTAGATCCTGTGTGTTAGTTAAAGCTCTATATGGTGCAAGGTAAAAATTTGCCTCTACTTTTACAACTATTTTATTACTATGTAATAAGAAATTATTTTCCCAATTTGTTTTAATTGACTTTCATTATTTTGGAAACCCTGGTGGCATAGTGGTTAAGAGTTTGGCTGCTAACCGAAAGGTCGGCAGTTTGAATCCACCAGGCACTACTTGGAAACCCTATGAGGCAGTTCTATTCTGTTTTATAGGGTCTCTATGAGTCGGAATCGACTCGACGGCAACGGCTTTGGTTTTGGTTTTTATTATTTTAACTAAATTTACTAACTTTCTTATTAATTACAGGCTCTATATCTTGTACCATTGACAAAATTTTACAGATTTATATCAATAAAAAGCCATTACTCAAAAAGGGGAAAATAAAGAACAGAATTTTAAACTCTCATGGACTCCAGACCTCCTGAAGGTTGGATGAATCCATGAAAATATTGCCTTGAGATATGTTTTAAACCTTAAACTAAAAATATTCCCTTAAGTCTTCTTGAAACCAAACGATAGTTTAGCTTAACTAGGAGAAAATGTCTGCATTGAGCATTATGCTCTTTTAAGAACTATCTATATGGGATCAAATTGACAGCAGCAACCAGAAAGATTAGACAGAAACCTTAGGGGACAGTGAATTTATGTTAATGGAGGAGGAACAACTCAGAAAAGAAGGGTGATGATGGTTACACAACTCCAAGAATGTAATCAAGGTCACTAAATGGTACATGTGGGAACTATTGAATTGGTGTATGTTTTGCTGTGTATATTCTCAAGAACAAAATAAATGAAATTATATTAACAAAATTAAAGGCTATTATTAATTGACTATCTTTTTCACAGCAAATGCTCTTCATTGAGGGTTTTAAATTTTATTAATTTTAAATAAATTTTTAATATTCAGAAACTACTAAATGAAATTTAGAAAGATTATCACGTGATTGATATTACACTAAATAAGATACTTATTTTGTCAACTGAATTGTGCAAGCTTAAATTTTCTCTCTTCTGCAATATAGCTCTATTCTTATTTCATTCTGATGTTACTATATGAAAACACTTATAAGTTTTGCTTCAGTATTCCTTTGCTGGTGTTGTTAGTTGCCTCCAAGTCGATTCCAACTCATGGTGACCCCATGTGTGTAGAGTAGAACTGTTCCATAGGGTTCTTTTTTATTTGTTTGTATTTTGTTGTTGCTGAGAATATACACAGCAAAACATATACCAATTCAATAGTTTCTACATGTACAATTCAGTGACATTGGTTACATTCTTTAAGTTGTGCAACCATCTCACCCTCCTTTTCTGAGTTGTTCCTCCCCCATTAACATACCAAATAAATTTAATATTATACAATTTTTACTTAAAGTATTTGCCTTTTATTACTTTTTTTTTTTTTTGGTGAAAGCTGCAGCTCTCAATTACATTGAATACTTATTAATTTCAAAATATTAATATTGATATTTTTATGAACATATTACTATAGGCAAACTTTTAAGATCTTTGGAGGTATTTTTGCTTTGAGATATATTAGTAAAAATACATAGCTTAACTTATTTTTTAGGTTACTGACAATATTATTTCTTTGTATGGATAAGCCATAAATTTATTATAGTTATCTTTATATAAATTTGTTTTAGTTTTGCCTTGAGTTTTATGAACTGTTTTAAATTCATTTTAATTTAATGTTGTTATTTAATTATTAAAAATATTTGTATTTGTCCAAAAGTAAAAACCGGAACACAAGACCAATTCAGATATATCCAGGTTCTATTTCTGCCCCTCAACCCTGGTCAGTTTCTGCCCCTGTACGTCATTATTCTGGTAAGTTTTTGGTTTATCATTATATAGTTTTATAAAGCAATGCAGTGTGTGTGGGTGTGTGTTTATATTCATATACCTTCAAAATCATAAGAAATAGTGTAGCATACCATGCACTATCTTCCACACTTCCTCTTTTAGAGTTAAAATTATATCCTGAAAGTAACTCCATATGTTGTTTAGAGATGTTTTTCATTCAATCATACAGCTATAAAGAATTATATTGTGTGAATGGTCCATTATTCATTCAAACAGCCATCTTTAGATGGCCATTTAGGTTGTTTGCAACATAGACCCTTAATTAATAACCTTGGAACCCATAAGCACATATTCCTAAAGCTCGTTTAAATTGAGAAAATATGTTACTAAAAGAGAAGGAATATGTGTTATATGTAACATTAGAAATTGCTAGTAAGATGAAAGTTACACTTTTTTTTAACTTAAGTGATTATTAGGTTTTAAGAACTCTGCTCAGAATTTATGACACGATGATAAATAAGTAAAAAAGTACATTTCTTCTTTTTATCTAGAACTTACGGCATAACTAGGAAATGAAATTTACTACGTAATTATTCAGAGCTTACTTAAACTAATTATGCATTTTTTTCTGATGGAGAGACTTAAGAAAACAAGTTACGGGTACTATTCCTTGATCAGGTCAGACAGATTTATAAGCAACACTATTATGTACTTATTTTTCATGTGATTACCCAGAAAATTTTATAACTTTTAAAAGTAGATTTACATCCAACAATACGAGATAGAGAAAAAATATTTAAAAATCCCTTGATTGGAAGTCACATATAGTCGTAAGATACCTGAAGCCAAATCCACCATGTTTAGGCTATAAAAAGTGAAGGAAACCAAGATAGAATGTGGACAAATAAAAAATTAAATTAAATTAAATTAAAAATAAATAAAATAAAATAAACTTAATTAAACTTAACTGAAACGAAACCAAGTAACTTAATTAAAATAAAATAAATTAATTAAAATAAAATAAATTAATTAAAATAAAATAAATTAATTAAAATAAAATAAACTGAAGTAACTAAAATAGCTAAAATAAAATAAAACTCATTGCCGTAGAGTCGATTCTGACTTATAGCGACCCTATAGGACAGAGCAGAACTGCCCCACAGGGTTTCCAAGCAGCAGCTGGTGGATTCCAACTGCTGACCTCTTGATTAGCAGCCTGAGTTTTTGACCACTGTGCCACTAGGGCTCCAAAATAAAATAAAGTAAATGAAATTAATTCAAATAAGATAAATTGAAATTAAATGAAATAAAAAGAATAAAATG